CTCCACTAATGGTTGTGCATTGATATGGCATGGATGAGTGGAGATTTAGTAGAAGAAGTGACAGAAGTAGAAATTATACCCAACTCTTGGGCAGACCACAACCCTCTTAGAATCAATTGGAAAGGTAAGAAAAAATCAAGAAGTTGGACTTTAGATTCTCAATTATTAGAGGATGAGGATTTTATAAAGAAACTTAAGGAAGAACTAACTTTTATTTTAAAGAAAATAATAATCTAGACACAACTATCCAAAATTTATGGGACACCATGAAAGCCATCATACAGGGAAATATAATATCTTACACTGCACAAAAAAATAAAAGAAAAACATGCTCAACAAAACAATTTATATCAAACAATCAAGAAACTAGAATCCGAATTACAGGATGCCCCACAAAATGTTAAATGACAAGAACAATTGATTCTCTATAAACATAAACTCAACTTTGTTGAACAGGAAGAATTGATTAGAAACTTGAAAGTAACTAAGCAAATATACTTTGAACAAGCAAACAAGCCTGGTAGATGGCTGTCTTATAAGCTCAACCTACCAACTACAAGATGAAAGTGAAAATTATCAACATACGATAGAGAAGAAAAAAGAGATTGCACATAAATATTTTGAGAAACTGTCTAAGAAAGAGAGAGTAGATGAAGGTCAGATAAGGGAATATCTAAGAGAAAAAAAGAACTTGAGAAATTAACGATGAGATGAAAGAATTTTTGACAAAGGACATATCTATGACAGAATTAAAACAAGTAATTAGAACCCAGAAAAGTAACAAAACCTCAGGCCCTGATGGCTTCCCAGCAGAATTTTATAAAGCGATAGAAGAAGTGGGACCAATAATGGTGGATTTATATAATGAGATATTATTATCTACTAAAATGCCAGACACATGGAGAGAATCATTAATTTTGCTAGTCCTGAAGGGGGACTCAGATGCCAGAATGATACAAAACTATAGACTAATTTCTTTGCTGAATGTAGATTATAAAGTATTTACTACCATTATTGCTACTAGATTAAAGAAAATTCTGAATGATTACATACATCCAGACCAAAATGGATTTCACCCAAATAGACAAATTAGGAACAATTGAAGAATAATAATGGATAGTCTGGAATATTATGAAGCCCACCTGGAGAAACAGGTAGCCCTTGTTTTCTTGGATGCTCAAAAGGCTTTTGACAACCTTAATTGGCAATTTATGATTCAGCAAATTTATGACATGAATTTTGGCACCAAATTTGAGAATATTATAACAGCAATTTATTCAGTACAAAAAGCAAATATCATAATAAATGGAGAAAATACCCAAACTTTAAATATAAAGAAAGGAGTCCAACAAGGTTGTCCGCTGTCCCCTCTGTTCTTCATATTATTGTTAGAAGAACTATTAGAAAGAGTGAGGCAAAATCCTGAAATAAAAGGATTGAAAACGAGAAATGAAGAATATAAACTACAAGCATTTGCAGACGATATGGCTTTTATTATTGAAGACCCAATAGAAAAAGGACAAATATTAATTAAGGAATTAGAAAAATATGGAGCAGTGGCAGGATTGAAAATTAATAGACAGAAAACAAAACTTTTAGCAAAAAAATTAACAAATTTACAAACAATAGAATTAGAAAGAGTATTCGGACTCTATGTTGGAAATGTAAAAAAAAAAGAGGGACATATTATCATATGTGGTGGTCTTGCCCAGAGGCTCGAAAATATTGGCTCAAAATCAAAAATTGGCTACAGGAAATCACCAATGGACAATTAGACCTAGAACCAGAACTCTTCCTATTGGGGATCTTCCAAAAAAATACGTAAAGAGCACAAAATTATTGCCCAATGTTGGAAACAGCCATATATACCCGTAGAGAAACTGGTTATACAAAAAGTTATGAATTGTGCTAAAATGGATAAATTAACACTGAGTTTAAAAGATAAGGAAGCTTCAATATTTTATAAGGTATGAGAACAATGGTATAGCTGGATAGATCGGAGACAGATTAAGGATAGGTAATTATTAAATATAGAATTTAGATAGAATAAGGATATAATTATGCAGAAATTAATACCTGTAAATATTGCACAAATGATTTTTACATGATAAGCACCACAAATAGCTGTTATTGAGTGATATATATTTTTATGTTTTTAATGTAATAAAAAAAATCAATAAAAAAAAGGAGGGGACCTTCTGCATAAAAACCATGTACTCTTTCACTGAAATAGTCCAAATATGTATAAATATCTGACAATGTCTAATTTGTACCATTTTCTTCAGTGCATCACAAAACAAATTTAGAACTTCCTAGAGGCTTCAGACCTTGGTAAAAAATATTGGAAATATTAAACTTAACATTGTGATAACTGAATTGAAAGACTTGTATTCATGCCTGATAGTTGCTGCCATATCTCCTCTTTTCAGATGAATTCTTGTTGTGATAGCAATCACCATTAAGGATCAATTGATTTAGTTATATTTTAATATGTTTGCAATAGAAAACCCCTTATACTATTGAAGGCAGGCTGTTCAGGTTAGCAGCATCTATCCAATCTTGGACAGTATTGAAAAGCTCAGTAGGGACATAATAGTTTATTCTTAGGAAATTCCAGTACTGTTGGACTGACTGCGAAGTTGAAAAAGCATTCCAGAAAAAAAAAGGCAAAAGAAAACCACTTCTATAATGTTGCTGAGAAAATAACATGGGTGTAACCATGAAGTCATCAGGAGTCATGGTAAACTTGAGGGAATTTGCTAAACGAATTACCAATGCAGTACTTGTGTACCTATGTTCACTTACAACAGAGGTCTCCAAACTTGGCAACTTTAAGACTTGTGGACTTCAACTCCACAAGTCTTAAAGTTGAAGTCCACAAGTCTTAAAGTTGAAGTCCACAAGTCTTAAAGTTGCCAAGTTTGGGGACCCCTAACTTACAATAATAACTTATTTGTAAGGGCTACCTTTTCTGAACATACAGGTAGCTAAAATGTTGAAGTTATATTCAAATATGCTAGTGTTACTCAGTCTTAAATGAAGTCATTTTGATAATGACTGTGTAGGAAGTTAATTATATCACCAAAATACAATATTTGGAAAAGGGTCATACAGAAGATGGCAGAAGTAATGTTAGTGAAGGAATACAGCACCATTTTTGAGCTTCCATCTTATACCTTCTCTCTCTCCTACACAGCTCTCTGATTCTCCTTCCTTATGCCAGAAAAATATGTGGAGTTTGTTGATGTTTGGGGGAGAAGGAAGGAACTATTTGTCTCATAATTAAAGATCTATTTTAACTAAGTTAGAAGTCCAAATCGTAGCTGGCACATTCTGCATTGTAGGTCCAGCGAAAAATACCTAGACTATCTGGTTCAACATAAGGCTACTCTGAATCTGAGAAGTCATGGGAAACCACAGCAGGTATCTATATCTTATGTCAGATATACATCATTTCCATGTGAAATTCCCACCCAAGCCCTGCCTCCGGGACCTTCCACCTACATACTATACAACTAAATCTATAGTATATAGATTTATATGCTACCTACAATGTAGTACATACTATAGATTATCTATACACTACTAAAACTATATACTGCTAAAACTATTATTGTTTTAATTAATCTACTATTGGCATGTTCAGTTAGCTGAAATGGTACATCATAGTGAAATAATTTTTGAATCCAGATGACCTCAAATCTGCTACCTTGAAGGCATACAAACTCTGGGACCCATTACTCCCGTGGACGTGAAATTTCAAGGACCTTCTGACCAGGCATACTGGAAGGGTTACATAGTTATGTAGACAGCCCTGCTGTACTTCTGCCATCAGCTGAGGCCATGTGATCCAGATGTATCATATGTCCTGCCAGCTTCCCTCAAGCAAAGTCAATGAGAAAGCCGAAAGGAAGTCAGAAATCACCCCTACTTCCCACTGCTGTTTTGGCCACCTGTGGTCATTCTGTTTATCTCTTTAGGTAAGTATTACTGAAGTTCATTTGCCACTCTAATTACTCTTCCATCATGCTGCACTATCTTTTTCTAAAAGGATGACCCAGTGGGTCATCGGTGGTCCGGTAAACAAATTCCAGGATGAAGGGAACTTCCTGCTTTCTGCCACAATATACTCTCCAGGATTGGTTGCTGTGCAACAAGAAGAAAACAGAGCGATGTTTTTCCATCTGATTGTGTGGTAAGATTTGTCTGTTGACCTTGGGGAATCGCTAAGCTTGGGTGGGGGTAATGAGTCTGTAGTCATTTCTCATGATGACATGCCTGAGACATCCTAACTTGTAAAAAGGTAGACAGTCGAGGCGGTGTAGAGAAATGTAGAGATAATATGGTGAAGGCATGCCAGAACTGTAAAGTGATTTTTCAAAAAAGACCATAAATATAATCTCATCCCTGGGAAAGGAGAGAGTGTAGGCACAACCCTACCTTGATTCTGGGTGGTATTATAGGGAGTAGAGTGTAACTTGGAGAGCTTTCAAGACTTTGTTAGTCTTTGCAGTGTCCTTTGACAGTCCTTGCAGTGTCTGTTTCCTGACCTGGCCCATATCAAAGGGTTGACGGGCAACAAGGAAACACAAAGCCAAAATTTCAGAATACATACTTGAAAACTTTATTGGATTATTATTAGATGTATTGTGAGGCACATCCAGAAGAGGACCTCAGTGTTCCAGCAATGAATAGTTCAGGAAGATTGGAAGGGAAGTCTTGCTCCTCCAAAATGTGCTTGCTGAGCAAATAAATAATTTCAGCAACAACAACTTGCCTGTGACTTCTGGATTTTAATGTTATGGGTTGTGTTGAGCCTTGCCCCCACTCAGTATTTGTTGTTATAGGAATCAAGATCTGTGTTTCTAATACCTGTCATCCTTTTCCCAGCCTGGCTGGCTTTCTTGATGTAGTAATTTCACACTGTATATAGAAAGAAGGAAAACAAATTGGTAGCTTTTAAGCAGCTGTTCTAGCACTTTGG